TATATAAATAATCTTGCTACAAACACTTGGAGAGAGGACAGAAACATAGGTTTGTGGAGTGCCATTCTCTGGGCATGGCATGGCCAACGATGTCTTGAAATTAGAACCGTTTTATTGTATATGCTAGACCATCACAAGATTGGGCCCTCTAGCATTCCCTCCTGAAGGTGGATCATGAGGTGCAAAGTAGACTCAGAGGTTTGTACAAGTGGTGCAATAGTCCCTCCCCTTAGTGTTGAAGTGGTTAAATATTACTATGTGTGTGAGGGAGACTTTTCTGTGGTGTTGTCATTCATATCTTGTCCATGTTCTTGTAGGTAACCCCTTATGTACGCTCTCTCAAGTAACACCAATTAACTCATTGGTTCACTAAGCTGGACTTAGGCACAATTGTTTCTTTGGACTGTTATTGATGCCCTACCTGGGTTGAAAACTTTATTCACCCCTTCCTAGAAAGGGTTAATGGAACAACAAGGCTTCATTTCTCTGAAATAAATGCTCAGAAGGGCAACTGATGGGCTGTGTTTAATTTTCTAATTTGTTTATTTTGGACAGTTTCATACTTATATACAGTACGCTGTGATCACATTAACCCTCAGTACCCTGCCAATGCCATTCCACTACTCTTTCACCAGTGCAGCTTCTGTTAATCTCCTTCCTAACCTCATCCATTCATCCTTCCTTCCTTCCTTCCTTCCTTCCTTCCTTCCTTCCTTCCTTCCTTCCTTCCTTCCTTCCTTCCTTCCTTCCTTCCTTCCTGTGCTGCACTCCTTGTGCAGGTGATCTCAGCTGCAGTGTGCTCATCATTGCATCGACACTGAAGTATCCAGAGGACAATGCTTTACTCCCTTCTTACCCATCCCCTGAGTCCCTCTGTTCTTTCATCCTGTCTTCCAGGACGTTCTTTGGGACTCAGATGGAGTAAAACAAATCCCCTGTGTAGAGGTGAGTACTCAGTGGCCACATATTCCCAGAGATTCAACTAGTTATGAGTTCCTGCTTTGACTCTTTCCCAGTTCCAAAAGAGGCCTTTCTTACCAAGTCTGAGAGCTGCACTGGTCTATGGGCATGAGCATCAGTCTTTGGGAGGCAGTTTGATCACGTGTCTTTGTAGCAAAGCTTTGGTAGTTTTCAATTCCCTTGAAGGGCCTGTGACCTTCCTAGACACAGACTTTTGGCTAACTCCACAGTACCAGACATGTGTTACCTTCCAAGGAGTGGGCATCAAGTTCAATCAGGACCTGGTTGGTTACCCAAGAGCATTCATGGTACTGTTGTACCAATGGGTATATGTTGCCAGGAATTGGCTTATAATTGTAGCACACAGGGTCTGCTGCTCTGTGTGGACACTGATGACTTCTCTCCTTCAACAGGCTGTGCAATACTTTCTGGTATTATGAATAGTATAAGCAAACAGAAACGAACCTTCCATCCAGGTCAGCTTGATTTCTCTGTGTCCTGCATCTGAAGTATGTCGTGTCTTCAGCAATAGGAGCTCAACATCTATTTCTGGTTTCATAGCATATATATTGTGAAAATGGCCATCTTAATGGAAGCAATATCCAGTTTCAATGCAGTCTCACTCTAAATGCCAGTACCATTTTTCACAGAAATGAAAGAATATCTGAAAATTCACATGGAAGCCAAAAAGACCCCAGGTAGACTTAGAAATCTTAAACAAAAAGGCTGAAGTTATTATGTCTGCTTTCAAGTTATGTACAGAACTGTAGTAATAAAACGGCATGGTACTCACACAAAAGCAGACAGAGATCAATGGAAAAGAAAGGAGGACCCAGGTAGAAGATGGCATGATTACAGTCACCTGATTCTTGATAACATTGCCAAAAGTACTCATGGAAAACAGACAGCCTCTTCAACAAGTAGTGCTGAGAAAATTAGATATGTACATGCAGATGAATGAAGCTAGACTCTCATCTCCCACCCTGCACAAGAATCAGCTTCAAATGGATCACAGATCTCAATGTTAGATCTGAAATTCTGCAACTACTAGAGAAAAAAGCAGCCACTACACTTCAACATATAGGCAATAGGTAAAGGATTGCTGAATAAGACTCCTATTGTATGGTGATACTTTATTTGTGCTGAAATGTGATTTTATTTGTATGTTAATAAATAAAGTTGCCTGGGGGTCAGAGCTAAGAGCAAGCCATTTAGCAGAAGTCTGGCAGTGGTAGCACACGCCCTTAATCCAATCACATGGGAGGCAGAGTCTGTGTGTTCAAGGACATAGTCAGCTTGGAGATACAAGCCTTTAATCTCAATACCAACCCATAGAGACCTGGAGGTCTGTATAGACAGGCAGTGACGAGGAGGTCATGTGGTTGGGTTTACAACCAATGAGAAAGCAGAACAGAAAGTCAATAAAAATACAGACACACAGGAAGTAGGTCTCTTTCTCAGGGGAAGGATGACAGCGACAGTGAGGGGTAAGAAGGCAGTCTTAGCTCTTGGCTGCTGCTCGATCTCTGGGCTTTTAACTCTGCATTTGGCTCTGTGTTTTTTATTTAATAAGACCGTTCAGAATTACATCTAAACTATTGTCCATGAAGCATGCTCCATAACTAACAGATTGGGCTGTAGGAGTTGTATTTCATTTTTTAAAGAAGAGTTACAGCTCTATTCCTGGTTGACTCTACCATTTTGTATCCCCTGCTGAAGTAAGTGTGGGAAATCTGCTTTTTCCCTACATGTTTGTTGGGTTTTGAGCATGGAATTACTTTTTGTTTTGAGTGTGTTAATGGTCTCTCACTCAGGTTTTGATTGGTGCATCCTTCATAATTGTTTATCCTTTCATGGGCTTGACTTGCCATTGTTTGTCCTCTTTAGTGAACTGTCTGCTCAGGGTTATCTTCTAATCACATCGTGTATGTGTTGGGATTATATATTTCTTTTCACTACTGAGTTTGTAAGTTTGTTGAATATTATAGATACCAAATTTTTGTCAGATAAATCACTGACAGGTATTTTCTTTCCCTCTGTGAACTAATTGTATTTCCACTCATTAAATGGACTCTTTCACAAAGCAAAATTTTTCAATATTGATGAGATGTAATTTGTCAGGGGTTTTTGTTGTTTTGTATCAATTAAATCTGAGAATTCTTGGTGTATCTGTACATCCTGAACATTTTTATTATATGTTTCTCCCTAAAAGTTATAATATTTTATGTATATGTTCTTCATACACTTTGGGTGCATGTGTGTATAAAATGTCAATCATTGGTCAAAGTTCATTTTTTAGTTTTATGAACTTCCAATTGTTTCATTTTTTGAAAATGATATTTTCCATCTGCTAAATTGTTTTTACACCTTTGCCCTCACAAAATCAATGGGCAGATTTGTGTGTGTCTATTCCTGGATTTTGTGTTATGTTCTATTGATCCATATGTCTATCACTCTGCCAGTATCACACATTTTTGATTACTGTACTGTAGTTTTATAATAAAACTTGAAATTAGGTAGATTGATTCTTCTTACTTTGTACTTTTTCAAATTGTTTGTAGGTCTTCTATTTCCTTTGACTTTTCACACAAATTTAAAGTAACATCTGTTGAATTCTGGGCGCAATTTTTCTATATCATATTTATATCTTTTTAAATCTACCTATATTATATCTGCTTATTTTTATGGATATGTGTTGCATATAGCCATACTATATATTACATTAATTATATGTATAATATATTGTATATATTATGTAGACATTGTATTAAGTATATATATTTATTCAAATAGGCTTAACCTCTTTACTATTGAGAATTCAAAATTTTTGTCAGATGTATCATTTACAAATTCACAAACATCTTATGTCACTGCATTTATTTAGATCCTTTTTTATTTCTGTCATCAACATTATGCAGTTTCAAAGTTTCAAGCATATAATCCCTTTACTTATTTTGTTAGGTTTATATTTAAGTTATTCCAAAAATCTTCTTTCACATTAAAAATGTGTGCTGTGTATATAGGTATGAGGACAATAATCTGCAGGAGTTATCTCTCTTCTTCTATCCACCATGTAGGTTTGGGAGTTGAACAAAGGCTTTCAGTCTTGGTCACAAGCTCCTCTACTAGCTGAGCCATCTTATCAGCCCAAGACCTTCACTTCTTAGGCAATTGTAAATTATTGAATTTTTGTGTCCACTCATTCTTGCTAGTATATAAAGAGACATTTTTTTCTTTGTATATTGATCTTTTTTTTCTTGAAACTTGTATGTCACATCAGTTCTATGTGTTCATATGGGATGTAGATAGTCATCTTATCTGCAAATATGTTGTTTTGCTTATTTCTTTCTGCTATTACATATATATTTCTTTTCCAAATACTGCCTTATGGTGCTAGCTAAGATTTGTAAGACTATGTTGAGCAAATATAGTAAGAATGGTATCCTTGCTTTGTTTCCACTCTTAGACACAAAGTATCCCATTTTTCAATTTTAAGAAAAATAATACCATTTTTGTTGTTGTTATTATACTGTTTATCAAGCTAAGAAAGTTTTCTTCTGTTACTGTTTTCCTGAGAAAAAGTTTTCCAATACAATCTTGATTTCTTTGAATGAGGCTTTTTTATGTGAAAGAATGTTTTATGTTGGAACCATTTCCTTGAAATGGGTTGAACTATTATTGAGTCGACAGAAGGCAGATAATGTAAGAAATATTCTTCAAAATATTGCTTGCACTCTTTTTACCCATGAACACTAGGCATGGTTGTAGAAGGCCCTGAGTATTACTCTTCAAAGTTCATGTAATATCAGAAACATCAAAGATAACAGAAAAAGCCCCTTCATTTCAAAACAATTATGAATGGAATGACTGAGAACTAGCATACAGAAAGAATTACAGTGCCTCCAGGTTGAAATTATGAAAGGGAAAAGGGAGCAAGATGAGCGCAATTCTATTACTAAATGATGGCAACACATATAGTGCCTGTGGGTGGTGTATTGTTTCTTTGAGTTACCAAAGATATTTCTTGTTTTGGCAACTAGTTTCCTACATGCTACTATATTGGAGGATTGTACAGAACATATGAGCCTTGCCTGGTACTGAAAACTCAGCCAAGTACTCAGCGACAGTGAAATCATGGCTCTTGGAGGAGAACCTACAACCACCACTTTGCTACACCAGCATAATCTCTGACTACATTCTTAACATTTGTCTTTATATCCACAGGTAAGTTCAGCCCTTACCCCTCATCAGCGAAACTTCTCTTTGCAACAGAGGGAGGCTGTTACAGAAAACCACTATCAATCAAAATGCATAGTTGTGAAGCACAGTGCTGATTGGATACACGTACAAAACATTCTTCCATCTAAGGCTAAGGGAGCATTTCAGAATGCCAATAGGAAGACTGTAAGAGCCAGAGAAATAGGAAGTCTGCTATGAGATTTTATCTCCCAGTAATGTCAGAAATTACATTCATAAAGCCCCATCAACATGACTACCTAAACGTGAGCCTAATAAGGACATCACCAGTAGACAAGCCAAGTGGACAGGGGAAAGCCCAGGAGACCTCAAACCTACACAAAGAACTACAGGTAACAAAGGAATGCTGAGAGTGGAAGAACACAGTAGTTGATTAGCTAATTCCAAATGATCAGCTAAGAAAACATACATGAGAGTAATATTATTCATACTGAACAGGTTATATTTAGTAACATTTATGTCTATGCACATATATATATATATATATATACACACACACATACATACATATACACACACACACACACACATATATGCATGTGTTGTGGGATATTTGTACACTGTGTGAAGATAAATTTCTGTGTTTGGTGTAATAAAAAGCTGAATGGCCAATACCTAGGCAGGAGGTATAGGTGGGATTTCTGGGGTGAGAAAGGAAGAGGAGGAATCCAGGTGTTTATGATTAGCCAGGAGACATGGAGGGGAAACAGGATGTGCAAGAGAGAGGTAATGCCATGTGATAGAATACAGATTAATATAAATGGGTTCATTTAAGTTATAAGAGCTAGTTAGGGACAAGCCTGAGCTAAAGGCCAAACTTTCATAATTAATAACTCTCTGTGTTGTTTTTTGAGCTGTAGGAACAGTTAATGAAAATAGAGGCCATGAATTTGAGAGCACAGAGAGGATTTGGAAGGGAGAGATTATCTAATTATAATTTCAGAAATAAAAGAAATAATTGAAAAAAGTCTTAAAACTTTAGTCAGAATTTTGAATAGTAACAGTACTTAAATGTGTCTTTGCATAGGTACGTTATTTGAATGCAAAGTGATTTTCTGTGATGGTGTTTGTGCCTGTGGACAATGTGGCTACTCCTACTTGTGTCAAAGGTGTGTGGCTGACTTTGTTTCTTTCATTTTGCATACATTCTGCATTCATAGCTTGGGGTTTATTATTTGTACAATAATAAGAATCTGATCAGTTTATCTTCTCATTTCTCCATGAGGCTTCTTGAGAACCCAGACCATAGGGATTCATTTTTCCATTCAACAAATGGCACCACAGGTTACCATGAAACTAACTTGTTGGGCTATTAAAAGGTATATATGCATATATACATATGTAATTACTGCAATATATACAATTACATGTATGGATTTTTACATATAAGGATATAGCCTTATCAGTGTAATGATTGTCTGACTATCCCCATGATGGGCACCAGAGGGCACCCTTATACCGTTAGAAGTTGATTGCTTTGCCTCAAAGTACAAACCAAAGTAATTACAAAATACAGAGAAATTTGCCCAGTCTGGGGGTATTTACCAGGTGTTGCTTCAGGAGTCTGGGCTGTGATAGGGAACATTAGGAAGAAGACTACTCACTATAAATTTAGCCTATAATGCGCTAGGCAGAGGCCAGTAAGCCATAAATATTAGAGGAGTTATTAAAGGTACAAGAAACAGAGAGAGATATCTCAGGTATCATCTGGGGATGGGAAAAGGAGGGACCAGGTTGGGAGGATGGAGGCAGAGAGTACTGGGAGAGACAACTGGAATCTGGGGGTACCTCTGGGATGAGCTAGAAATCTAGAGCAATGGAAACTCCCAGGAATCTATGAAGATGACTCTAGCCAAGACTCCTAGCCATGGGGGATATGGAGCCTAAACTGGCCATCTCTTGTGACCAGGAATGACTTCCAGTGGAAGGAGTGGGACACAAACCCTGCCATATAACATTTAATCTACAATTTTCCCTGCCTACAAGATGTGCTGGGGTAAAGGTGGGGCAGAACTTGTGGGAGTGGCCAACTAATGACTGGTTCAGCGGGAGACCTATACCATGAGAGGAAGCTCACCCATAAGGGCCAGGACCCAGAGGCGCGAGAACCCAGAGACCTAGTATAGAACCAAACAAGACTGGCAAAAAAGTCAATGAAATGATACCTAATGATAGTCTGCTATACTGATAGGTCAGTGCCTAGCCCAATCATCACCAGAGAAGCTTCACCTAGCAACTGATGGGTGCTGATTAGATATCCAAACATTAGGTGGACCTTGGGCAATCCTGGGGAAGAAGGGGAGGAAGGATTATAGAAGCCAGGAGGGTCAAGACACCACAAGAAAACCCACAGAACCAACCAAATTGGGCTCATATGGACTCACAGAGACTGAAGTGACAACCAGGGAGCCTAAATGGGACTGACGTAGGCCCTCTGCATATATGTTACAGCTGTGTAGCTTGGTTTTCTTGTGGGACTCCTCACAGTAAGAGCAGGGGCTGTCTCTGACTCTGTTGCCTGATCTTGGGACCTATTCCTTCTACATAATTGCTCATCCAGTCTTAATAGAAGAGGAGGAGCCTCCTAGTCTCACTGCTACTTGGTATATCTTGGCTGGCTGATACCAGTGGAGGAGTGGATGGGGAGATGTAGAGGGGAGGTGTGGGGGAGGAATTGGAAAGAAGGGAGGGAGGGGAAACTTTGGGTGGGATGTAATAGCAAAAAAGTAAATCAAAAAGGTATGTATGCATATACACATATGTAATTTATGCAATATATACAATTTTATTTATGGATTTTCACATATAGGGATATATGCTTATCAGTCTGAATATCCCCACGATGGACACCAGAGGGCACCCTTATACCGTTATAAGTTGATTGTTTCGCATCGAAGTACAATCAAAGTAATTATAAAATACAGAGAATTTTGTTCAGTTTGGTAGGATTTATCAGCTCTTGCTTCTAGAGTCTGGACTTTGATAGGGAATATTAGGCAGAAGACTAAACTGGCCTAGGCAGATGTTGCTAAGCCATAAATATGAGAGGAGTTATTAAAGGAATAAGCAATATAGAGATATATATCAGGTATCATCTATATGGAGACTCCCAAATACAAATTTTGAAATTTTATTCTGAGACTCAGATGTATGTCCAATTGACTATTAGATGAATATCCAAATGAAACTAAAAATTTTCAAGACAGAACTTTAATTCTTTTTAAAAAGACATGAAAGCCAGAGGGAGCCTTGATGGGAACTAGAGGGAATTCAATGGGATGGAGAAGAGAAAAGAGAATAATGGGGGGTAAAGTGAACAAAGTAAGATTTTTATATATATATATATATATATATATATATATATATATATATATATATATAACTCTGTGTGTTTGTATGAAATTGTGAAAGAATAATTAAAAACTTCAATATTTTTCTTTCTTTGCTTTCCCTACAGATTCCTCCCAATTTCTTCCCATGGCACAACCCTCTAATGATATATCTTCTCTTCTTAACATGATTGCTCATTTCTTAGCATTCCCCATCTCAGTAAAGAATCCCTCCTTGTTCAAGTCTTCAAACTGCTGCTACCATCTTTGGTATATCCCTCTTTTATTTTTTTCCCATTGAATTATACTCCTCTATTAATTCTGTTTCCTAATTATCTTCTGAATTCATCCAAATAAAAACAATTCCCCACTCCTGGCCACCATCTTGTCTAGCCTAGACTATTGCAATAGCCTTAAAGGCATACTTTCCATGTCCAATGCTGACTCCTTCCATTTATTCTGCATATGGCATCCTTTGTCTAGCTAAAATCTAAATATGTCATATCTTTGTGTGAAAATTCTTAAGGGATTTCTTAGCTTTCAGAATGATCTTCAAATATCTTATTATGGGATTTATTTATACTCCTTTTAGGGTATCTGCTTCTGTGTTATGTACCACTTTAGAGAAATTGGGGGTGAGCCTATGAATGAAACATATTCTGTGCTTTCATGGAACTTAACTACTAGGGTCAGAGCATATAGGGTAGGATCACAGAAGGCCTTTCACTGTGCTTCCTGCTTCCTGCTCTAGCTTGTTCCTCTCCATTCCCTCTCCTCCCAATCTGTTCCTCCCAGCCCCTTTAGACCACAACTCTGCCAAGCAGAGATACTTCGAATTTGCACACACTTCTCTTTTTTGGTACCTTCATACCTTGGTCTGGCTCTTTTTTGTTCATGTGCAATTCCAGTTATAACTTTTCTATCAGGGGAAAATTCGTTCACCTTTCAAAACTAATTTCAGATGTTGTCCCTTCCAAGAAGACTCCCCCCGACTTCTCTTTATTTGCTAAGCCTAGACAGTGTATGAACACTGCATCATAGAGTCCTGTTTTTCTGTCTTGCAGCATTTCACATATAGCGTTGTAGCTGTTTACTGCTTTGTTTGTCCTGGTTTTGTGAGACATTATTACACAGAGACCTTTACCCTGGAGAATAAGTAGAGCCATTGCTAAGCTGCTCATGTCTTCTGTCTCTTGCTACCCTTGTTCTCAGCCACTACCTGCACTCATTTGACTCAAGGTCTTTAATGTAATTGTAATTTTTGACCCTTTGTTCAATGTCTTTCTTTTGATCTATTTCCTCCAGAGTTGTTCTTTAGAATGCAAAATGGACTAACAACAAGCTGCAGAGGAGCCTTGTCTGCTTTCCTTTCATTATTCCACACTGGTACACTTTGTCCAACTGCTAGAGACTGAAGAACGATGATGTAGGACCGACAAATGGACTTTTCTCATATCCAGCTTTGAGTGACCGTGTTATTCTCCAGTTTATTTAAGTGACTATAGGCACAAAACAGACTTTTGTTTATTAAGGCTTCAAGATATATTTTACTACTTCTCAAATGATATTTTATCTGAGCTTTATGAAGACATGCTTGCTAAATGTCCCTTCGTATACCTTCATTCCACTTTCTATTGTAGTTCAATTCCATCTAGTTTGATCATGACAGCAACTAATGGCAGACATCACTGCCATTAGAAGGAACTTCCAGTGTTCAAGGATTTCTCTTTTACTATCTCTTCTGTTTCCCTCAGTTCCTGCCAGTTAAGCCTCATGAAACTGCAGTAATAGTTAGGTACAGTCTTCACTAATCAGGAAAAGTTTGTATAAAAAAGACTTAAGGACTGAGAAAGTGTGGGGGAATGGGAGGTTTGTATTGAGGGGAAGAAAGTAAAATAGCTGTCAGGTAAGGAGAAAAGAGGAATGGAAAATAATAAACATGCAAGGGCCGCAAGAAACAGCTGGGACTCAAGGCAGTGTTTACTCAAAGAAACAGGAGGCTTCTGTGCAGAGCAGCTGCAAGGCCGAAGCTTCCTGCAGATGGAGCCCTTGTCACAAATTTAGGAACAGAGACACGGGTAATGGAAATTCACACTGATCAGAGAGGAACAAGCCTCCTTTTTATTTGTTTTCCTCTTTCTCTCCTTTTTAACTTTAATTGTTTTCTGCACCTGGACCCCGGCTTTTTTTTTATGTCTATGAAAGAAGTACCCCACTCCTTTTGTGCCAGACATGACAACAGCAAGCGCATGTCAGCTAATTCTCCCCTCGCTAATTTGTCAGGTTTTCACTGCACCAGTGCATTCTGTGCTTCCGATTTTATCCGGTACTTCCAAGTCCTTCTGGCATTTCCTTCTCTCCTTTCTTTTTTCTCTCCCTTTCCTGCTGCCCACATGGAAATATACATTTATTTCCTACTTGTAGGAAATCAATGAAGTAGCAAATAAATGTATATTTATTTCCTTGTCCTTTCCCTGTGTTTACAACCACACAGAAGAATCTTAAAAGCTACTGGTCTATAATCCTGGTGAATTCATGAACCACCTCATGGCCGCCTTCTTTTTCACCATCAAACTTCACTAAAAAAATAGTGTGTGCCAATGCCTTTTCTTTCTCAGTCCCTACTATATAGCTTCTGTAACTACAATCTACTGTAACATCTTGTTTGAAGGTTTTACTGAGGAAACTGAATGTTTCTCAGAAACCATTCTCTTCTGTATATCTGACATATCCTTTAAATTATCTGCTCCTTTGGTTTCAATACTGTTTTAGCCCTTGTATTCTTCCACTGCTGTCCCTACAAATGCTTCTTTCTATAACCTATTCATTTCCTTTTCTACCACACAAGTGTGGATCTCCTGCATGAATGTTCCTTCTGCTGTTTTCCTCCAGTTATGGGAATGGTCATCCCCCATTATGATTTATTTCCAATAGTTATCTGTGTATCTGTCCAACCTCCTAGATCAGAGCCATATATCTGAATATTTGATGAATATCCTAGGTGTTTTTCAAACACCTTATATTCAGTTATATCTAAACTTGAATCTATTGGCTTTTGACCAAAGTCATTATGTACTCTTCTCTCATTCCTTCCCTCCCTCTTTTTCCTTCGTTCT